TGCCATCAATCACTTGAATTCGGCCCACACCATCTGCAGATATACATGCCCAAATCATGACATTTGTTGGATTTTTAGTAGTTGCTTCAATGCAATCAGGATGAAGCGCTTCACCTACTCTACGCCTCACGTATTTTCTACCATCACTTCCAAAGAGCGATATTTTACTCTCATCACTCCAGATTACTTGCTTCCATTGATTTTCTGACCATTTAATGTGCTCTTTTGCCGACTTAACTCGTTTTTCGCGTTGTTTTTGATTTAAATATGATTTTTTCCTTGGAATTCTAGCTTGTAGTCCAAATCCTGATAAGCTTCTTATTGTTCTTGAACTTACTGCAATACCAGCTGCATTCATTTCACATCTGTGGTGTGATCATGGGATCACCACAATATTTACTTTTCATACTGGACTGTCTCCAACAGGAGCGCCCTCTTCATTGCCTTTGCAGGATCTCTAGGGCTCGACTCATAGCTCGTCTTTAGAGACTCTTGCAACCGCTAAGGAGGGGACGCTATCTTTTGGAGATAGACCAGTATTCCCCGTGGATCTCGAGCAGTTGGTTGCTTTCTTAAGCAGCAGGATAATTTTTGTTTTTTATCCCCCTGTGTGCTCTAGAGTTTAATCGTTGATTTTTACCATAATAAGTTTTTCCTTATCTCCTAATTATTTGATGCATCATGTAAATTTAGCGAAAAAAACAATTATTATTTCAATGACTTAAATTAAATTACTATCTACTCCCTGGAGCACACAGGGAGAATCCAGCATCCACGTGGTGGATGTAGGCTCTTGTGAATTGATGAGCCGCATACTGAAATGAACATGTTTTAAAACCGAAATGAAATAAAAATGCTGAATGAATACCTTCGTCTACAAAAATCTGTGTTTTTCATTTGAATGGGGATATACAACATCTAGCACAAGCAGTTGGCGGATGATCTACACCTCATGGCCCTTCCTTCAACCACACCTCCCGACAACATCTAATGGCATCTGATGACATTTTTCTATCTTGAAGGCATAGCCATTTAATTTTTCTATCGGTAGTAGCACTTGTGCATTTTTTTCGGCCTGATTTGGCATCCGGAATGCCAAAAAATACATCGAAACTGTCCTGAAACCAAATTTGATACCTTCCATCAGGGATCTCTTCCTCAACAACGAACCATTTATTTTTCTGCAGGATTCAGCTCCATGCCACACAGCAAAAGTGTGCAAAGCATGCGTTCAAAATAAAGGCATAGATATACAGTAGACGCCGCTTAATGTGATCACATCGGGACGAACCTGATTTGATAACAATAACCGATTGATTACAATAAACGAAAAAGAAATTAAGCTAAAAAATGATTTTTTTTTCGTCTTTTAAACACTTAGATGTTTCAGTTTTACTATCTCCCTCCCCATTTTATTGTTTGACCAATAGCGATTCAGTAAGGGACCTGCCAAGATCAAGTGGCATACCCGAAACAATGTTCTCTTTTGAAGGTCACCCCTTACCCCCTTCCCATAGCGGCTGGAACATATCATCTGTCACATTGTTTAGTTCTTCTGAAAAGGTGCTCGTGACAAACATTGACTCGTTACTGGCAGGTCTTCTTTTCTCTTTATTTAGGATTTCCGGGAATTTGAAATCGTACAGTGCGGCGGAATTTTGCAATGCTTGACCGAAAATGGCAAACCCCCCCCCTCATAATAACACATGTTTAAAAGATAATATACCAGCCCCGTTTGGACTTTTGGTAAGTTTCAGGAAACACTTCACAAAACGCAAAAAAAGTTTTCCTTCTTGTTTTTATTGATTGCATTGAAGCAACTACTAAAAATCCAACAAATGTCATGATTTGGGCATGTATATCTGCAGATGGTGTGGGCCGAATTCAAGTGATTGATGGCATCCTAAATGCCAAAAAATACATCGAAACTGCCCTGATACATCGAAAATTGATACCTTCCATCAGGGATCTCTTCTCCAACAACACACCATTTATTTTTCAGCAGGATTCAGCTCCATGCCACACAGCGAAAGTATGCAAAGCATGGTTTCAAAATAAAGGCATAGATGTATTACCATGGCCAGGAAACAGCCCTGATCTCAATCCAATTGAAAATTTGTGGTGGCGTTTGAAAATTCCCGTACGAAGAAAAAGTCCATCCAATAAAAGACAACTAAGTAAAGCTATAATTGATTCTTGGCACCATGTGATTACGAAAGATGAACTCCAAACACTCGTTCACTCGATGAAAAGACGCTGTGAAGCTGTCTTAAAAATTAAGGGTTATCCTACTAAGTATTGATTGTGTAAGTATCACTTTAAAAAAATGCAAATCTAAGATAGATCGTACTAATAGTTGCATAACTTTTTTTGTAATGTAGATATTGATATACTGTATTTATTAAAATTCTACATTACATTACCTTCAATTTGATATATAAACGTTTGTATTTAAGTGAAAATTAATATATTCTACAAGCACACAAAATTGAAAAACATGAAACTTTCAAAAAGTGTCCACACTTTTCGCCACCACTGTATGTAACATAAAAAGCTTCAATTAATCTTTTTATGCTATTTCTTTTCTGTAAATCCTTTTCTTTCCTTTTATTATTCAAATCGAAACATTTTCTCACACTTTTAAATTCATATCTTGTCCTTAAATCTATTTTTGGCTGAAGTATGCATTAAGTAAAAACAAGATATTTCCTCCTTTTGCTCTTTGTGTGAATCGCGCGACCTATTTAATAAACCAATTACAATTACTAAGGTTTCCCTTATTCCCTAAAAAGAAACATTTTACGGATTTACTTTGTAAGATTTTCCCTAACATATAATCGAAGAGCATAACTTTTCAAAGCCCTTTTATAGCTGCTCTCTGTCTAATAATTAATAAATAAATTTTGTACCTTCTTTCCCTGCCTAAACCTGTTTTAATCCTTCCACTCGGCTATAGATATATATATATATATATATAACAATTTTTTTTCCTAAATTTTAATTTTAGTAATAAATTCTGAATTTTGTGTATAAGCATTTTATCAATGTGTTAGTTTGTCTTGAGTTTTAATAAATTGTTTCGATTTTTCCCTTTCAGAGATCAAGATATGCAAGTGCACATCATTTTGTATACTTTTTCCATAATTATATATGGTCCAAATTAAATAGTATTTAATATCTGTAGCTGACATTTTTATACTCTAACTGCTTATTAAACTTATATAAAAAGGAAACATTTCTATCTATGGTATCTCTTTTTGACATATTTTACTGAAACTTTAATAACTCTATTTTTTTGGAAATGTAAATTCATTTCTTAGTATTTACTGAAGCATGAAGCAATTTATTGTTGCAAAACTTATATTGATCCATTTGAAAACTTGGCAGAAGTTTTTGTAACATTTTTGTCTATAAAATACAATATTTGTGATATTAGCATTAATTTTGGTAAACTATACTTGTTTCAAAGTATCACCCTTGTGCGGAATCTTTTGAAATGTATCTTTTAAGTACTTTTGCCTACTAATTAGTAACATAATTTTTTACGGTTTTGAAATTTAGTGAATCATGCTGAAATATTTAGAGAATAACTGTAGAAAGTATTTTGAAGTTAACGGCAAATGCTGCTGTTGATACAGTTTCATTATTTTGTTAAAAAAAACTTACTGAAACTTAAAACAATGTTATGTTTCAATAAATATGTTCTTCATATTTTCATAAAGTTCTTCCATTTATAAGAAAAATTGAAGTGCAGCAGAGTTTACTTGATTTCAAAATTTCTGCTTGTAAATTAATTTAAAGATTTTAACTTTCACTAAGGCAGAACTGCAATTTTTTTAGGAAGTTAAATACATAATAATTAAGTATTTCATTTACCTTGCATAACTTTTATTAATATTTTTTTTAAGGATTTTATTGACGTAAATAGGCATAAGGAAAATGATATATAGCTGCTCTAGATTTATATTTACTAATATTTTTAGGCAGTGCTTTAAATTCACGATTTTCTTTATTATAAATATAAATCAAAATTAATTTGAAATCTCTATCTACTTCAGCATTTGCATTTCATTTGTTGTGCATTTAGCTACTAATGCAAGTTATTTTGAGATATAACCCATTTTGCATTCCTATGAAGTAGTTTTTACATAGTTATGGTCAAAATAAATTTTTATTCGATGGTCATATATGATGTAATAAAGGGATATAAAAATTCTTTTTTAAAAGGAAAATTATAACTAAATTTAAACATAACTTGTAAAATATTGTTTTGAACTATGCATATTTTTAAAGTCTTAAATGAACAGTTTTGTTCAATATTGTAACATCAATATGTTTTTTGTTGTGTTGGCTAAAAGTAGAACTGCAATGAGTTAATATAAAAATATTTTTAATTAGTAAATGACCTTTTTGTTTTAATAAATGTATTATAAGTTTTAAAAAAAATGATTATTTTTTATTGGCTTGAATATTTTTTTAATGTGATATTAAAAGAAAATATTGTTAGAGTAATAATTTTTAATCTTATTTTTTTTGGTGCATGAAAAATTATTTGCGATCATATTATTTTATCAAATTGATTCAAATTGCACAAATTTCTTTTACTGAATTAATTGAGAATAAGTTTAATGGTCTTGAATTATTTCTACTTGTAATGAACTATCAGTTAATTTTCAACTATGTAGTTTTGATTATTTTTTTCTTCTCACTTAAAAACTTATTTTGTGACAAATAGAAATTTTTTTTTAAAACAAATTGGTTTTATATTTTAGTTTCAATCAAGATAAAAGTTAAAATAGTTTTCAATTCAGTCGTTTCAAATTTATTGCAAAAGTGTTATTTTAAAGTTCGAAGTTATTTTGTTCATTTTATTTTACTTTTCATTTCAGTTGGAGTCACAATCATGTTCTCTAAAAAAATCTCCAATCAATGTATGTTTTGTTTTTCCTTTTCTCTCAATTTTTTTTTGTTGAAGTAAAAACAGGAGAGAAAAAGCAGTTTTCTTTGAAATAATCTGTATTTTTATAGAATTTTATTTTCGTAATCTTTATAATTTTAAATTATATTGCTCTTTTGTTTGTATTGCGAAACTCGGTTATTTTTCTCTTTGTTTTTCTTGTCTTTTTTATTGCTTGTATTTTTTTAAGAAAATTTCTTGATGTTATTCTGTTCTTGTACTATATCCGGTGATTTCAGATTCTTTATTTACACATGGTAAACAGTAATTTTAATTCACAAAAAATAGCCCTTTTTGTCCTTAACAATGCATGCCAAAATAATTTTTGTTACATCAATCTTATGTTCTAGAATTTTTATCGTTTTGTTGAAAATATTACGATCAAGTTTTAAGTTCCTTGAAACATAATTTTATTTTACTTTTTGGAACTGATATTATTTTTTATTATCTATATTATATAAATGAGTATTAAAATATGTTCTACAGATAAACGTTTTTTTAGTTAACTTTCTGAAGTTATAAATTATTCCAGTTTCTTCAATTTTTAATTAGGTTTGATATTGTCTGCTGGGGTTTCACATAGTATTTTATAATTTAATACATTTAGATGCATAAATAATTGGATTAAAATTATTTTGCAATTAAAGTCTTGTAGCTCATAAAGTTATTTAATTAGCACAATGATGTATTTCATGTTTTTAATTACTATGTACTATGTTTATTCAAGAAGTTTTATTTAATGCTTCAAATTTCAAATTTAGTCACATTTGTTTTCACCGTTTTAATCTACTTTGGATGATTTTGTAAAGATTAAAATATGGTTTTAACTTATTAAATTTGCAATATTTCTGAAATCTGCTATTTAAATTGTGAATTAATTTTTATATATGACTGTTTAAAAAATAAGATTATGTTTGTTTGCTTATGTTGAATGCAATGCAGTATTTCATTTTAGAATTTAAAGTACATTTACTTAGATTTATTTTTATTACATTCAATGATGGAAAAAAAAAATTAGGTCTCAATAAGCAATTTTTTTCTCTTTTTATATTTGTTTTTATTGCTATGAGTTTTTACTCTTACCTATTGAAATATGTTTCTAAATATTTTTTTTAAAAATCTAATTTCATCTTATTAAAAATGAATAGAAATATTTATAAGTGAGGCATCACAGATAACTAATTTTTACATTTATGTCTAATTAATAGCATTGATGATAAAATATTTTGATATTGATACTTATTGTAATAATAATTTTTTGATAACTTATCACACTGTTCTTATTCTTTCAAAGAGATACTGCATAGAAATTTAAATAATATGTGTCATTACTTTATTAAATATAAAATTTGTGTATTATTATTATTTGTTTTTGCATTTTTTTTTTTTGAAAATTTGTCGCATCATTCGAACATTATCATTCATTGCTTTTCCCAAAGACAAATAAAAGTTTTATTTTAATATATATATTATTTGTTTTTAAATTGTATAGGAATTTTTATTTAAGAAATATTTACGTACATATATATATATATTCTGTTGTTGATAACTTTGTTTCAGTTTTATAGTTATTGACATTGTCACAAATACGGATATAAAATCTGGTGTATGTATATTTCAATTAGGTTAAGTAGATTTATTTATTGTGAATTTATTCCGCTTAAAATTATAATGCTTAGATTATTTGCTGTACAGTTAAGTTGCAATTTATTTTCAAGTTATGTGTTGTATATTTTCTTTTTATTTGTTGTCCTTATATTTATCTAGTCTGAAAAATATGCTGTCACTAGGAAAATTATGGTGTTAATAATTGCAAATGCCACAATTTTTGTTATGAATGAAATAGTTTTCATTATGTCTTCAATTATTTAACTTTTCATTATAAATTGTTAATAATGTTTGGAATCAAGAAAGCCTTGTTTATATGTAAGATTAGAATAGAAAATCATATGTGAATTTGCCAATTAGTTAATCACAAGCATCGAAACATTGAGTAAAAAGTACACAATTTTATATGATTTTAAATTTTCTGTGATTTTTTTTTTTAAGGAAGAGCAAAGTTAAGATTTTAAATGCATGTTTGCTAAATTTCATGAATAAATTATGAATTGAAAAAAAAAAGAACCTGTGAAAGTGAACAAAATAAGTTAAGTTCATTTAAAAAATTTTAACACAAAAATTAAATTGTCAGAACTCACTGTAAAGAGCACCTACAGAGAGCTCACTATATTTAGCAATACGTAAATTTTTTACAAAGGAAACAAACTTTCAATTACAAAAATTTTGTGCATAATAGCACCAATAATTTGAATTTCTATGTTTCCTCAATTTCACTTCTTCAACTGTCCCTCTTTTGACACATCGACTTTACTTCTCCTGACATTAATTCGGGACTAATTAATAATTAAGTGACTCAAACAGTTTGGTTATTTTACATATAGAGTAGCATAAAGCCATGCTTTAAAAAAATAAACGTATCAGATTAGCTGGACAATAGGATTTTACATGTATACAAGGTCCAACAAATTATTCCAAATAAATTTTCATTTTTATAAGATTTTAATATTTTTGACAGAAGTTTTTATAGCTCTTTGTAGTTAATTAATTTTGCAATTGCATTCTTTTTAGACATTTATATTTTCATAAGAAATGTTCCAGTCTCAAACAGGTTCAGTTTAAATTGATTGCATTTGATTTTCGATAAATCTAAATCTTGATTTTCTATGTCTGTATTCTAAATCAATCTTGATTTTCTATAAATCTAAATTTTTTTTGAATGTTTTAAGTTTAATAGTAATTTTTTTTATTAGCCTTATCTTAGTAATTTTACTTGCTAAATCATTGTTGCATTCCTTCAGTTTCTTTATTTTTTACTATATATTTTTCTTTTTACAGGAGGATGTTTATTATTTTTAGATAATTTCATGTTTTTGACTTAATCTAAATTAGAGAACTCTAGAAAATTTGAACTAACAAGAATTTCTTGATTTGTTTTATTTCAAAGAACTGCATTTAAGCTTATATTTTTCAATTGTCAATTTATATTTTGTTTTCTTTTTAAATATGCGTGGCTTGGCGTTCCTATTAGAAAATATCTATGAATCAAGTTAGAAAAATTTATATTGTGGTGTAATTATTGTGACTTAAATGAGAAATATTCTTTGAATTTAAATTTAGTTGACTTATGTGTGCATATTATCTTCCTGTTGGATAATCTATGTACATATTATTTTGAGATTCCTATTGCATTTATGAATATCATATTGTAAGTAATGACAGGACTAGTTAGCTCTTTGTAGTCATTTCATGATGTCTTTAATGCAAATAACTACAATTATATAACATCATAGTGATAGAAAGTAAGAATAAGGAAAGAAAAGAAATTACTATTGTAGTAAAGTTTATGTAAGATTAAGAAAGGAGTATGCTAACCAAATTTAATCTAAGCAATCTTTTTAAATTTTTTTCAGGACATAACTTTTATATTTAAAATGAAATAAAATATTTTGAGTTTTATATTTATATGTTTGAATATTTTTTTGTTTTAATTTCAATTGGCATCTTTGAGGTTGAATTTTGTTACTTTCTGCACAGTTAACTGTTTTTTTGTAATGTCAAATAAATAAGAATTGGTAACTAATCTTAAGTGTGCAATTGCACATAAAGTTCATTTGTTTAAGGATTAATTTATATGAATAAAAAAACTTCTCAAGTTTTTCTTACCCCTTTTCTAATTCACTGTGAGTTATACTTCTTAACAACGAAAACTTATTTTTTTTAAACTTAATTTTTCATGTGAATTATGAAAATTATTGTAAAATTTAAATGTATTCATGTATATTTTTTGGATGATTAATTGAGTAGTGTGAAAATTTTAGGTTTTCTTCAATTGAAATTTTTGTTTGTATGAGAAAATGATTTATAATTTGAAATCAATTCCTTTTAGCTATTATTAACAATTTGAAGATTCTACTGTCTTCTTC